TTTTTGGGGGGGGGGGGAGGCTGGGGTGGATTTTTAAAGAAATTTGTTCTATGGTGAACAAAGAAACCTCTCTGCAACTCTCTGAACTCAACAGAGCATCACACAATCATTTAGATTGCAAAAGACCCTTAAGATCAAGTCCAACTGTAAACCTAACACTGCCAAGTTCACCACTAAACCATGTCCCTAAGCACCATATAAAGTCTCCTGTTTCATCAAAAAAGTACTGTAGTCCCTAGAACTTAAAACAAGGCCATAAAAAACTCCAATACATTTTATTTACTTCAATACGCAAAGATAAATAGTTGCGAATGCATTTGCTTTCAGTACTATTTTTGCTTTAAGTAATCTTGTAGTAACAGAATGTGTGTCACCAGCCAACCTGGTATAAAGATACATCATATTCATTGCAATATCACTGCTGATTTGTTTCTTAGTTGACTTTTTTTTTCCCCCTGCTTTTGTACGCTTTCAGCTATTCAGGACTTTCAAATAACTGACACAATTCATTGGGAGTCTCAATGTCAGAAGTAAAAAGAAAAAGAATAGCCAAAATATAATTTCTCATAGTTTCTCTGAAATATTATAGCTCTTCCCCATCTTGAAAATCAAATGTCTTCTGAAAGACAGCAACATAAAAATTTCTGATTACCTATGACAGAAATCACTTCTATTATTTTTTTTTCCCCTGTTGCTGTTAAGTCAGTGACATTTTCATCTGAAGGCAAATGGCCTCAATTAAGATTAAAAGGGATTTTTAACAACTTCTACATAACCTGTTCTTGAACCATGCCTTGTCTGTACTAAATACACTAAGGAAAATTGCAAACAAGATTTTAGTACTAGAACTTTCCTGAAAGAAGAAGAAAAAAAGTTTCCCTAATGGCAGTGATGCAAGAGATGAGGAAGAGGAAAGACATTCCTGGCCGGGTCAGGCACAGGGCAACAATGGTGCAGTTCAACAGGCTTCTGTGTGAAAACGCTTTTACAGTTTGAGCCACGCAGACTCTAAGGCAAGGAGGATGCCTACAAAAACCCAGAGCATGAGCTGAAGCTTTGCCACTCCATTAAGCTACAATGCTACTGTGAAAGACAAATATTCTCTAGGGCCTGAACAGCGATATCCCGGCAGTCTACCAGACGAAGGAATTTTATGATCTGGAGAAAGACCTACCTCCAGCCCAACATGTCTGCCTGTTTGTTTGATCTCCACCACACTTTCCTGTTTTTTTTCCCCCACATGTCTAAACTCACTCCCTTCACAGAGAAGGAGGTTTGTCTGGAATTTATTTCTACTCTTTATGTCAACAGCCTTTTCAGGTAACTTGTTCCATATGTGAGTTACCCTTTAAGTGAAACAGTTGACTCAGAGTCCTCCATTTACTCCTTGAACCTACTGTTTCAGATTATGCTTTTAACTTTTGCCAGTCTCCTATCTATGTCTCTTCCAGATTCTGTGCAATTTCTTTTATTTAGCATACACATTTTTAGCTTAATTACTTGTTATCAGATTATACGTGGAAGCCTCACTTGACACCTGGCTGAGATCAACAAACAAGCTTTATGCTGATGCAAGTTCCACTGCAAATTAAAAACTACTGTCAATCAACACCTGCGAGCTCCTCACAGCAATGCTTCTTTGAGTCAAAGCATCCTGTTCCTAGTTTATACACAGCCTTGGATGTCATTTGGTTAATTCTGGTGAAACTGTGCCAGAGGGAAACAGCCTACACATATGAAGCATGATGCAGCCAAACTTACTATCTCATTTATGGCCATAAGGAACATATTCTGGAAACAAGAAAAAAGTCAAGGAATAAACCTCTCTTATCATCTTAAAACAGTAGCATTTATCAATTCTTTGCCTTACCCTAAAAAATGCAAAGCCATCTACACCCTCAGCAGAACACCATAAAAAAGGTATGGGTTGTGGCTTCCAAGAGAGGGTAAACAGTTTTGCCAACAGCTGAAACACACTTAGCTCAAGAGCCACACAGGTTTAAAGCTCTTCTCTCTGTTCACTTTCACTGAGAGAACAAAATGCAAAAGCAAAAACATACCCAAAAGAAAACAGACAAAGTGTTACTCGAGTAGAAAATCAACAATGAATATCAAGTCAGGGTAACAAGAGATAGGGAGGGATTAATCCCTGTTCTCCTCTACCACAGCAAACAGGGATGTCTCTCCTTTTCCTGTTGCATCTCCTCTCCTCTATGCTGCAATGTTTCTAAGCATACAAACTGAATTAATTTAGCTGCTTATAAAAGCGCTCACTTTCTGAGAAAGCATGAAAGCATGCACTCAATCTAGCACATGCTGATTAGTGTATCTGCAGACACCTGACATACAGCCTTCTGTCTCCATGTAAGAACCAAAGTTTATTAACAGGCCAATAAAATGGCATTACTGAATACCCTATTAGTTTAATTTCTAGTCCTGAATGCATACCCTCTGCATTGGAGGGAGGCATTTTTAATGATGCAATTGCAGCAACTATACATGCTGGTGGAGACAATGAGGACAAAGGTCCTCTGATCTACTTTAGATATCTGCTCTGTCAACACTTGCCCCTGAAAGATCAGCCATACCTCCCTCTTCTAACTCTCAAAGCAAACAGGCCTTTTAGAGCACACTTTGTTTTCTAATGGCAGGGGAGTGCCTGTTAACTCTTCACTGGCTTAAGTGAGCTTGGACAGGTAGTTCAGTAGATGCAAATGTAAATGTCAAGCAAGTCTAAAGAAAAGTGAGATGACTGCCACCAGCAACCTTTACTGAAATGTGTAGGGAAGGCAGAGAAGAAGATTAATCCTTTCCCACAGTAGGATACTAATCCTTGAGCCACCTTGTAAAAAGTATCAGATTTAAATTCACCATTATGATTTTGATGGGGGGGAGGTTTAGGGGAAAGAGCTTTTTGAAAACAAAGCAGTCTAAACATTCATCTCTGCCTGACTCCTCTGAAAAAGCCTAAAGCAACATAAAAAACAGTGTCTTCAAGCAGCCTGAATCCTTTCATTAATGCAATTGTTCCTATGTCTTTACTTTCTTCTCCAGCACAGATAAAGTTGTTCAAATGCAGCAGCCAGACACATGGTGGCATTCATATGCCCTAATGGTATGATTCTATGATAATAAGTCTCTCAATTTAAAGACAGCCTGGAGTGAACACCTCGGAAACAGCTGTACTGCCAGTGCCTGCCTCTGGCTTGAAGAATGATAGCTAAACTGCAGTGTGGTTTCTTCAACTAAGAGGACACACATAAACGAGACACACTGCTTCTCTACACAGAAGACTTAAACTTGCCACATTCTCTGTATCAATGGCAATGCTATCCTACCTTCATGCTCCTCTCAGTGTCACAGAATACATATGCACACTATGAATACACATATACTTTGTACCAAGTGCTTATTCTTTGCTGAAGCACACGACTGCTGATTTTGTATAGTTTTAATTGCAACCCTTAAAAAAACAAAGAAGCTCTCATCCCTTCAATCAGCAAGTTACTTATGTCTTATCTTTTATTACACACAACAGCAAAGTAAGAAATCCAGAGAGAGTCACTAAACCCCACTTCAGCTTTCCTAGTATTATTCTTTGTTGCAAATGCCACATCTTGATTTTGTACTACCCTTCAGACCAGGAACTGAAACACAATGAATATGAGAAAGCATCAGCTTTTGCTGCCCTCCTCACATACCGTCAATATCTGAACTGTCTTGTGAGAAACACTGACACTTATTTAAAAAGCATGCGAGTATCTCTGACCAGCTGCATTTCCATTTTTGAAGCACAAGAAAGGCAACAGTCTCACCTCTGCCATTCCTAGAGCTCCCTCAACAGACAAAACACCACCACGAGTAAAAAATCTGACACTAATCCCTTACTTCAAGGCAATACCTTACCAGACTAAGGAAGTGTATTATCCCAGTCAGTACAGTTTGCTTCCAATAATGGTTAACAGAAGCCACCTGCTAACTACTGTTAATAAACTCATGTAACTTCATAGACTGAGACTGACTTTTTTTCCTTTCCCTAAGACAGGTAAAAAATTTCAGGTGAATTACGTGCCCTGTATTTGTACCCATTTAACCACCATGCTCTAACTCATCAAAAGCAAAGTTCTAGATCTGTAGCACGAAGTCTTTATAAAACATCTAAGTAGACAACACCTCAAGGACATCACAAAAAGAAGCATAAATGCGCATCAGTAAAATCGTATCTGTAACATGAAGGGCTCTTTCCTTTCCCAGAACTCATGGATCTCTGTTCTCGTCCAGTGATGTATGCTTTAAGAATTCAGGGACTGCGATTATCTATAAATGTCTTTGTTTATAGTTCCAGACCTTTTTTTTTCAATCATGAAGGATATTTTTGATAAACTCGTCTCTCACAGTGTCTGAAGAGCAAAGAGGACACACTGTAATAAATGACCAAAACATAAAACAAAATAACACCCTAAATATTATGATTACTAGAAGATTCTACGTCTTACTTGTGTAAATCCAGTTGGGCATTATATGACAACTTCTAGCTGTTAACATACAACCAATTTTTATCAAATGAAGACTACTGGTTCTCTATACTTAATGTACAAAATGAGATTCTTAGCTTTAACTGCAGGTCATCTATTTGTTTCCTTGACATGTTAGCTTGACTCTTATTTTTGGGAGAGTTTAGGTTTATGAAGTATCTGGACAAAAATGTCATTTGTTAGAAATCAGCACCTGCAGGATACAAAGAAAACACAAACAGTAATTACATCACAATTACTCACCTGCATGAGTTCATTGCTGTCAATCAGATTGTCTTCCAGCATCTCCTGGGTCAGTTTGCCCATGGTACTGTAAAACTCATCCGCAGTTTCGCAACACTCTATTTGCCTACATCAAAGTACATACGGTTTTTTTATTTTACTTTTACATATGATTACACACATCCAAACCAAAACTGAACCGTCTGTCATCATAAAAAACATGCTTTCTTTAGCCACCTTAATTTTTAAAATTTCAATCCTCCCTACACTTCCAGATAATACAACTGTGCACATCACATTGGAAATGCTGGTGCAGTAAAAAGATGTACTGAGCACAGCTTACTGTCCTGACTGCGCACGAGAAAAGATTCAAGCGTGTCCAGGCAGGCTATTCCCTTTGCCCCTTTCACTTCTACAACATGAGAATCAATAAATCCTACCTCCTACTAGCAGAAGGGAGCTCTCCCACCAGCTCAGAAAGGGAGTGTAAAGATTTCTTGACTGCTTCATCACCCATTCTTCACTATGCACCAAATGACTGAAATCACTGGTTGAACTTTGGTCTTCTCAGACAGGAATACATTTGCTAGCCATAAAACATTCCAGTGGAGTAAATTTATGTATGTCATCGTATTCCAAAGAGCTGAGCTCACACACTTCAGAATGAAGGAAAATTCACTCATATTCTGCATATGTGTGAATGCTATTTTGGAATTAGAGATGCAGATATTTTTTCTTTGTTTTGGAGGTTTTTGCTTTGGTGGTGTGGTGGGTTTTTCTGGTTTGGTTTTTTTTGGATTTAGGGAGGGGAGTTGTCAGTTGGGGTTTTTTTGATGTTTTATTCCCCATACACACACACTTCTTTTTTTAAAATTTCTCAAAACAGAATCACCCACAGAGTGTCAGATAGAAGAAGAGAAATATGATAATATGCTTTTGTGAGTTGCTGTTCTACATACATTAGGGTCAGCCACTAAACATCCTCTCTCATCAAATGAAAAATTTGTTTTACTTCTATCCCAAACAAGTGCATTGCTGGCTACATATTGTAGACTGCCCTGCAAAATTCAGCTGCTGAAATCATTGAAAAAGTACACTGCCTTTTTTCTTATGGATTAGAAAAGGAAGCTTCCTTTGATCTTCAGTGTCTATAGGGAACAACCATTGAACTATGAAACTCTTCAGAACAACACAAGTTATTCACATTACTCATACTGAAATCTTAAGAGAGTTTAGCTAGAAGAATGACTGAATAGTAAACCAAAGATAGGTATGTAGCCAATTATCACAAACTTACTGCTTACCTTCCCCTATACCTTCAGCCTTTCATGACCTCCACATACTGCTTTCTCTACCGCACCTATTTTTAACTTCCCCATTCCTTCACTCTCCCTCAAAACAGAAGTGTGACTCAACCACCCATATGTTAGGAAAAGCACTTCTCACCCCATTTTCATGTCTAGAAAGACAGTCTTGAGAAGCATGACGATCATGAGACTATGATCCTTGTTTCAGGCCCCACTTCTTTAAATCCCCCCTGTTCTATTTCTAATAAAGAAGAAAGTAACGATCTTCGCCCAGCAAAAACATCTTTTACTTCCTCATGTCATTTGGTGTCATTAATCACAGACTTACTGCATTTCAATTCTTGCTCAGTTATGGTGACTCATCATCTTCTGCATCTCTGGTTGTCCCAGCAATGTCCCTTTCTGTTAACTGCTCCCAAACCTGCCAGATCTTCTTCCATTCCCCACAAACAACAGTTACAAGGTATGCAGTGTGATCAGCTTATTCTTTTGGACATATTCTTAGATTTTTTCATTCTGTTTCTTTCAATTTTTATAGAACACACTTCATTTTTGGTTTAAGTTTTATGGTGAAATCTTTAAAGCTGTGACTTTCTTTTTGATCACGTTATGAGCTGGAATATTCATAATTACAGCTTTTAAGTGCACAGAGACCCACTACAATAGGACCTTTTATCTGACAGTAAGTTACAAAGTAACAAAGCACAATGGGACTACACATAGCTTAATCCTAATGCAAATGATTCATGCAAGTTTTGTTCATGAACTGAACAAATAAAGCTCTTAGGAAATTATTATTATAATTATTATTCTTCAGATTAAAAATTAAATATAGTAAACAAAGTCTCTTACAAAGCAACTGGCCTGCAGTGCTAATTTATTCAGGAATGAAAAAAGAAATGAAACCTCCAAGGACAGAGCTGAACATAAATCCCAGTGAGTCAGCTGCAGGATAAAAAGGAAGGTGAGTGTTGATAGGCACCACAAGCAAAATCTGACGCAGCTGCTGACACCAGCTGAAAAAGGTTTCCAGCTGAACTAACATCTGCTCGATGTGTCAGAGCTCACACCTCCCACTGAAGTCAGTGACAAAACTCATTTACCCAGGAGCACTCTTTGGAATTCAAATATTTGCTATGACAACAGGGGAGTCTGGAAGAACTAACCATCTCTTGTGTTCTGTCCTATGTGACTGTCTGTGACTGTCCTATGAGTTTCCAAGGCCATGAAGGACTATAATAGAAACTTGGCTAAAATGTGCTTGAAAGCAGCGAATTTCAGGAAAATTTGTTTGCAGGCCTTTAACAGAAAAGAGCCATGTAACGCTAAATCATTCTCTTAGTAGCACTGAACTCTCTTCTTGTGTATAGACAATGGGCTCAAATCCTTAAGTGAAAATAAGGGAATTAATATCCCCAGCTTCAGGTACCCAACTAAATTAGATAGTCACCCTCAAGTCTCTCTGTCTTTCCACAGAGTATGTACCAGCTCCCTCAGAAGTCTGTGTCCCAGTTAAGTCTAACCAACCTTTTAGCACAGTATGAAGACATTATACACAGACAATATAAACAACTGGAGACATTTCCTGCAGCAAGGTCAATTAATTATCACCCCCATTCTGACACGATGTCAGACACACAAGTTGTAGGGGAAGCCACAGAGGCACTTCGTGCAGCTTTTTCAAAGCAGAATCATTCTCCTAAAAGATCACATCTTGCTTAGAATTGAGATGTTCTCCTCAGAACAACACAAGCTATATTCATTGCTCATACTGAAAAGAAAAAATCAGGTAAAAATGACCACTTACTCTCCTAGCTTTGCCCAGATAGCCAAGGCTACTCTCAGTATAATTTCAGAGCCTTCAAAGAATACTGAATCCCAGATCTTCAGAACTGTATGGTTAGGCAGGCAAGTGGCAAAGAGGGTCAGAAACCACTGCATTGTGAAGACATTTGTAAGTGGGGGTTCGTAGCCTCCTGAAATCAAAAAAAGAAAAAACAAATAAAAAAAATCTTGAAGTAATTGTAATCTACTACTATTTTACAAAGAGTATAATCTGCATACTGAAATCCAACAGACATTCTAGTACCTGTTATTGCTCAAAACTTCCTTACCCTGCAGCTGTCCAAGGATAAGCTGGGAAAAAAAGTGATGTAAAAATGACATACTTACCTTTCATTCTGCTGCACTGCAAAAAGCTCTAAGCAGCAGCATTGGTTTTGGACTGTAAACCCTGTAAAATACCACCACATGCTTTTTTTCCCCCTTATATGAGAAAGATGGCTCTTCCCAAAAATAAAAGCTTTTAGCTCATAGCACAACAAAACAAGAAAACACAAACCCGATGCATTTCTTCAGAAAGAAACTTCATAAGAAGTGTTTACATGAAGATGACTGTCTCTGACAAGTCTTATCTATTGTTTAACATTCTGATGCACTGCCAACTTAGCAGAAGCAACTAAAACGTTCAGCTTTCCTTTTGGTTTGTTAAGTTTCAAACAAGATTTAGAATTTTGGCCTAAAACTGTGAAGTTCTACTTTGTTATGCTCAGAGAACACTTTGTGCATCCTATTATCAACTGATGCACTGAAGGCCATGACCAAAGAGGCTGCTGTTCTGCAAAGATACTTTCAAACAGCAAATACTTCCTTGATACTCTTTCTTTTTGTACAGTGACATGAAACATGGCAGCAGATCTCATTTTAAGATGGAACTGAGTGCATTTAGCTTCCAGACTGGAAAAAAATGAACAAACCCCAGCCAACAACAAAAAACCCTACCCAAAACATTCCCAAATTCTATTTATTTTTTTTTTTATAAAAACTCTGGATGGAATGAGGTATCAGGGTGGAAAGGAATAAATAATAACAATGCAAAGCCTGTTTTCAGGTAGCAACCCAAGACCTACTTCTGAGTTTTGTACCTGTGTATCACTAAGCATCCAGGTGAAGAAATACTAATCAGCCACCATTGGCTCTCACATTGTAACTCTTCCCAGAACAGCTATGTAAGCTAGCAACTACAAGATGCAATGGAAGGACCAGTATCTTAAGCTAAGGCAAGAAACAATCTTTTCAAGGTAGCCCTCATATTAAGCTGTGTGTTACAGTGTTGTCACTCCATACATTTTATATCCTTGTCAACACAATTCTGGTTGCAGTTAGTGGTGGGACCAAATTATTTCACCTTTATTATTTTTTTCCTGAGTAAAGGTTATCAATAATGGTAACCATCTCCCTTCACCTTAACAGTTTAAATATATATATTCTAAGTAATAAACTCACGTAAACACTTAAGAGACTGATTTTTTAGACTAATGCTCAGATTAAACAATGACAAAAAAGAATTTAATAGCATTTTCTCTTGAACCTACCTCCACTTTCTCTGTTAGCAGCTCTTTGCAGGGTGTCTAAGTGCTGGGACAGTTCAGGAAGCTTCATTCGTAAAAGATCTCGGAAAACAGCCATATCCACAGAAAGAGCACGGAGATTATTGACAAAATAGCTATCAGGAAGCACCTTATCAATCAGGTAAATCATGATCTGTGGGGAAAATTAAAGACTATCATGTAGGACTTACAGAGCCAGTTATTTTCTAGGAATAACAGGGGGAATAAAACAAATGAAATTTTCAAGTTCTCTGTTCACTGGCTTGGAGCCAGTGGCAACACATGCTTCTGGTATCTCCCTTTATATGGGGAGAAAGCATTATAATTTTAAGCATCCACAGGTACTCCAGGTATCCACAAGCAAACAAGTCCTTGAAGTGCAAGCCCTTGAAGCTGTTCAGAATGTACGAATCATTAATAACCAGTGTCACGGAAAGCTATGCCCAAATTGGAAGCACTAGTCAAACCAAAGGTAATTTTTGCCACTTATGATGCTCTACATGTTTATGAGATTCTCCACACTGTTGTAAAGTTCCACTTTCCCTTGTCTGGTTGTTAAGTGCCATGACTAGAAGACTGATCTTCCAAATAATCTTGTTTTCCCCTCTCCAAAATGCAAGACACTGCTCTTTAAAAAACATTCTCCACATATTTTACTGTGATGTGTTACCATGTGCTGCACTTCATCTTGTCACTTTAAAAGGTGCTAAATTAAGCAGCATGAGACATTTTAAACAGACATCTGTTTCAAGGGAGATAGTTCAACTACAAGGGTGGTAATGTATTAACTGAATACTGTCAATGACATTCACTGAGAGTGAACAAATGCAACAAAGAAATATGCAGAAGTTGATGTATATCATCAGTCTAACAGAAGATGCTGTCCTTCACTTCAGGATCTTTTAACACCTCTATGGTCTCTCTACAAGCTGTATCCAGAGAGCCTGCAAGTGGTCATCCCATCAGGGTCAGCTCTTCATTACTTCTTTGTTAAAGTTTCAAACAAGGATCCTTATCATCTGTTTCATACAGCCTCTAATGCTTGAGAGGAGCGTGGCACCTTTATACACAGGAGAATCCTCCTTACAATCCCTCTCTTTCCATAAAATGCCCACAAAAGAAGCTTGACAGACACCAGACTTAGAAGAGGACAACCTTACATAGTCTAAGTCGTTCCTTTTCTATCCCTGCTGCTTGTGACCACATACTACCACTTGTCCTTCCAAGATTTTTTTCAGGCAGTAACAACCTTTTCTGTTCCATGTTTTAAAGCATGTAGATCAGTAGTCAATACAGGTACATCAATAGCTTTTACACATTTTTTTGGGGGGGGAGTTGATTGTTTGTTTAGTTGTGTTTGGGGTTTGGTTGTTTTGTTTGTTGTTGTTGTTGTTTTTTTGTTGGGGACTGAAAGAAAATCGGTGATCAGTAAGTAAGCTGGAGTCTCATATTTCTCAGATACATTCCCTAACCTTTGCTGAATTCTGGGATATCTTGCTGTCTTTTAAAAACATGCTTTGTTTTGTTCAGATACATTTCAACCAATGGAAGAATAATTTACTATTGCAACATTAACTTACACTATGCTATCTGTGTTTTCATTAATTTCTTATGACATAAGCCAGAAATCCCTGCATTAAAGAAATCATTTCATAAAGGTTTTTGTTCTCTTTCCACTGAGTGGTATTATTTCAGAAATCTCAGATATATGAGAGCATAGGAAAAGACAGAAATCTTTTTGCAACACTGAAGTCCTTTCCATGTCATTGACATATGAATTGCTTTGAGAGGTTTTTTTAAGCAGCTTCATGTATTTACCAGTTTGCAATAGATACTTTCTTCATTACATATCTCTACATATTTATTTTTATTATTTGACTTTGTAATATTTCCCCACAATAATATGCAGGGAAAAAAACCCGGTTTTAAGTTTCAGTATCAATGAGACTACTCTGTATACTTAGAGCTTCTACACATGCAAGCTGTAATTTTCTTGCTTACCATAATTTCAGTAGGCTAACTTTGAGGTGTCTTCAGTGATTTAAGTTAAATATGCTTACCTTAACTAGTAAAGACTCCAACATCCCTGAGTGGGCATTAACTGATACTACCATGTTGGGTCCGGTGCTGTTAAAGCTCCATGGCATCAGTAGTACCTGCTGTTTCCCAGCCTCTGGGAGACACCTCCCAGACACAGAGCTTTTGTTTATAACATCCTACCTGGAAAGGGGACCTGACTGGCAAGCCCCCAAAATCCTCTTGCTCCCTTAACTCCTAGACCCCACAATAATGCAGTTTCCCCATAGCTCAAATCCTGAGGGCAGTTTTACATGCAACAGCCCCTGGAGCTGTTCCAAAGTCACTCATTACTTGCTTTAGGTGGTACAGTGACTACAACAATGGAACAGCCACATGCTAATCCCCAATTCCTCCCCCTCCACCCTTGCTCTTATATTACTTTTTCCCTTTTCCCTCTCGCCTCTGGGGAAATTCCAACCCTGCAAAGCCCACACACTAAGCCTGGAAAAGAAATTATTTTCCATCCTTATTTTTGCCAGGTAAGACCCATTTCAGTACTAACAGTCCTCAGTGCTTTACCTCCTCAGGGCAGTCCATTGCCTCCTTCGGACAAGGAGCCTAACACCACTCACAGTAAAAGAAAATCCAATAATATAAGGATGTATGCAGTTCATAATCAACTTGGACTTCATAAACCTTAGGCAACCATGTTTCCTATATTAATGCACTTTGTGAGCTTCTGGACAGTGTAACAGCACAATAAAATATGACAAAATACAGTTAAAAATACTGAAGAAATTTTTAGGAAGGCTTATTGACAGGAAATTTTACTCTCCGATATAAAGTAAGTGTACCTTGGTATTTTTCTTATTACAGGCAGCTCTCTAGAATGAAATATTAAATATCAGCTAGCTGTGCTCTGCTACCACAAGCTTTATGTTTTAGGAGCTCTGAGTGAATTTAAATATTCACCATATTTAAATAATTGTTAAAGGCAAAATAATCAGCTCAGTATCTCAAGAGTCACAGTCATCTTTTACCAATTTGACCCCAACTCACACACATAAACAAGTTTAAAGAAATTTGCACACAATCTTGGAACCTTCAACCACATCCTGTACTAAACTGTATTTCCATTTTCTCACATATGAATTTCATGAAGCTTTCTTCTAATTAGAATAGAAAAGTTCTAAAACAAATAAAACATGGTGTGACTAATGTAGCCCAGAAAGTAGCTTCAAAATGATTTACTTTCATTTTAAATATTTATTTTGTCTTTTCCTAGAATTTGCTTTAAAATGCAGCAGATTTATTAACTGCCTTGCATGCTACTACCACACAGGAGCTTGATAATGGAATCTGAAGGTTTCAGCTACCTATAGTGTTTGGAAGCATATTTGGGATTATGGGATAAGATATTCTAAAGTCAGCAGTATTGTTCCCATTTATTTGTATTATGGCCAAACCTTCATTTGTTTCTGTTGAGGGAGAAAAAACCAACAAATTAACAGTGATACCATTCAAACTGTTCATTTTAGCTCAAAGAAGATAACAAACAATCCACAGATATAAACTGGTTAACTCCTTTGAGTCCTGCTCTTTAAGGCTGTCTACAAAATCCACACGCTGGTTTATTCTAAAGTTCACTAACTAAAAACAATCTTCAACACTGAAAAAAAAAAAAAAATTTACTCACTTTCAGGGCATCCCCTTCATTGCCCTCCATTACTTCCAGAATAAGTGCAGCTAGTATGTTAAATCCTTGACAATAGCCAACAGATTTATTCCACCTGGCATAAGCCAGCAGAACACGTTTTAGAACCACTCGATCTTGCTCTGCCTCCTGGCCACAGTAAGAACTGCAACCAGTTCGGTGAAGGTCCTTTAGAGAAAAAAGACAGAAACATACAGAAGAGACGCGCATTTTATTTCCCCCTTTAGTTCTCCTTCCTGCCCCAGTTTTCCTTCCATCTCCGCCTTCCCAATATATACTCTGAAAGTTGATGATGTTTCTTTTTTAATCCGTAAACTTTTAGCTTACTAAAAATAAATAGGTTCAGCAAGCTCTTAAGTAAACAAGTTACCTAAAAGATATTCACATGAAGGTTTCATAGAAGATATTAACTGATATCTAGGTTTCAAAGAGGCAAGACATAACAGCTGTTATGTTAACTGAACAAAAAAGGCCAACTCTTTTTATCAAAGTATAAAATAACTACTAGACAACTAAGTTTTCAAAACAACAAAAAGAGTGCCATTGAGATTTAAGCAATTTACAAATGAAGAGCAAAACATGTACTACAATGTTTTTATTTCGTAAGTAATACCTATAAGCTTTAATTACAAAGTACAGATGACAATTTTAATAATCAGGAACACAAATTAAGGTGACTATAAAACACAATCTCTCCTAAACAGAGTAATACCTCCTAAATAGGTAATAGACTAATATTAAATTCAACATACCAATACATATCTATTAAGTTCTTCCCTAAAACCCCCCACTGCTTTAAATATTAAACATTCAGCTGAGACATATATATAGACAAAGATGCTTCACTCCTGTAAAGTAACTGAAAAAGGCTCAATTGCTGTATCATAAAACATACTTTTTAAGCACAGCAAACATTTGTGCCTATTTATACAGAAGAGGGAAGAAAAAACCCACTTATGTTCCTTTGTCTCCAAACTCCAGTACTACTTTTAAAATAAAAAAGAAGAAATTGAGGTGGGGGGAGGAGGGGGGATAAATCAGTAATAGCATTTTTTTCCCAGCTAACACTCATCAGATCAGTGCAGAAGGACAAAAGAAGCTGAAGAAATAATTTTGGTGAGCCAAAAGGAAGTAAGATGTAATTTTTGCCAAAGCAGTTTCAGAGAACAAAATAAATCAAAATTCCATCTATTAAAAAATATATAAATCAACTTTTCATTAGAAAAATAAAATAAAATTAGCTGGCTACCTTTACTATCTGGATGCCCATAGAGTCATCATCAGGATTACTTCTTTCATTGAATGTGAAACGCATGGTTTTATCCCAGTCAATGGCTATACTGTGTAAGTACTGATCAGCTAGGGTCAGCCAAACCTAGAAATACATAAAGCAAGCCAATAAAATTATTTCTCAGATAAAATAGGAACAGTTTTCATATACACAGTTAGATGAACCTCATGAGCTTCACCCATATGTAACTGCTGTTAAGACTTGAAATATGCAGAAGAGGACTAGAGCTAAAACAATTTTTGCACAATTAAAGTAATAGCTTTAATAATAAAATAATTTAATAATAAAACAGAAGAGAAGGAAATAGTTAGCACTAGGTGTCCAGATCTGTGACCTGCTTACAAAGATGCAAGTCCATTGTCAGAAACTGAATCCACAGGGGCCCTCCAAGATGGAAGCACACTCTCCTGCAAGGACCCTCCTTGTGACTTCAGCCCTTCTAACCTCAAAAAGGAGTTTTATAAAAAGGTAACACTGCTGCAGGCTTCCCTCAAACTCAACCATGGATCCATCTCCTGGAAATCTAGCAGTGCTTCTCTTCACCAGAGGTCTCCTCTGATCAACTTTACAGAAGAAACAGAATCCAGTATTAACCATTTAGGAGCGATCTGAAAGAACCCCTTTGATCACAGTTACTTACTCTTAACACGAGGGCTTCCTAAACTGTTGCTGCTACAGGGAGTTCTGAAAACAAACATTTTGCCAGTTTTTAAAGCCTAATAATTACCAGAAGAGATTTATGCATGTGTATTCAAGACAAAGGCTGGACCTTTATTAAACATTTGAAAAGTTCCTGAACCACAAGACACATGACAGATCATACAATGACAATAAATAGCAATATAGGATCTTTCTTTTCAGGAAACTGAAAGAAATCATGAAAGCAAATGGGTCGAGTTTTGTATCAGCCATTAACTCACTCAAGTGAGAAAAGCAATTCAGACACTTCCCACAGATTTACACACTTAAATAGTTGCATGATGAAGGAATTTATAGACAGCTCCGAGAATCTCATGTTTTCTGCATTTGCATTTCCCTTCCCACATTTTTGCAAAGGCACCCATGCAGAGAAATGCCACTGTTCTGCCTCCCAGCAGCCTTTGGCACTGTTGATATCCTACTGATGTTTGACTGGATTCTTTATCTTTGCCAGCCCCAGAAAACAAATGTCACATACAACAGCAATACTGCAGATGTCACATGCCACAGATGTCACCCTGCTTCTGCTGCCAGAAGAGGGAACAATCAACATGCTGCCAACACAAAATGCTTCCTTAATTTTGGTATCAATCTTAAAATCACTTGGAAAATGGGGAATAGCAGTGAAAAGACTGCACCCCTTTTCTTAATGCTATTTCTCTGATTAGCATCATGTGGTCATGTGTGAGTAGACACAGAGATGGGCAGAATGAGAGGGAAAGATAGAGAAATGAGTTGGATGATGTGGCAGAGCAAGCCTGCTGATAATATAAAATTAGGATGGAGTGGCTGGTAAGCCCAAGGCCACCTTTGACAGATTGGAAAAATGGGCTGACAAGAACCTCATGAAGTTCAACAAGAAGTGCAAAGTCCTGCACCTGAAGAGGAACAATCCCACACACCAGTATATGCTGGGGACCACCCAGCTGGAAAACATCATTGCAGAGAAAGAGATGGAGTCTTGGTGGACATCAAGTTGACCATGAGGCAGCAATGTGCCCTTGTGGTAAATGTGCCCAACAGCTTCCTGGACTGCACCAGGCAGAGCAGTGCCAGCAGGTCAAGGGAGGTGATCCTTCCCTTCTGCTCAGCACTGGTGACACACACCTGGAGTGCCGAGTCCAGGCCTGGGCTCCCCAGTACGAGAGAGCTACTGAAGAGAGTCCAGCAAGAGGCCACTAAGAACATCAATGGACTAGAGCACCTTTCCTATGAGCAAAGGCTGAGAGAACTGAGACCATTTGGCCTGGAGAAGAAAAGGCTCACCATTCTGTGATTCTATGACCTCTGCCAGTCACGTACCACAGAAGAGTGTCTGAAAGACTTACTGGAATGTGGGAAAAAAACATTTCAGGAAAGAAAAAGAAGCTGTTAGACACATATAATGATCCACTGGAGTTGTAAATTAAAAACAAAATCATAGCAGTGTGAGGAAAATGATGCCACCAAGTCTTCTCTTTTCTTCTCCCCTGATTTGTAAAGAACAACAGTTCAGTTTGGAAAGACAGCAAAAAGAAAAGAAAAGGAACTTAATCTCAAGTATCAAAAATATATGGAACTACATACATTTTATAAAGCTTTTAAAATATCCCTGTTATTAAAATTGCATTTTTAAAGCTGAGATCGTGTGACTCAGTTTTACAGAAAAGATGAATAGACATGCCTTTTTTTAGGCTAGGGAACTTCAAACATAGTTGAAGAAAGCAGTAAAGTAAGGTAGCAAAATCCCAGTGGACCTTTTCCTACAACACTGTCTCAGCACAACTTCCCATTAATGGCACACTCTACCATTCTACATCGCTCCTGACTCTGAACTTCCCTAATTTAGGCAATCTGCCTTTCCCCCATAAAATGTTTCTATGAGCATTCCTGTCAGCACCTTCATAAATACGACAGCCTACACTGGAAATGTGCTCTCCTTTCAATTGGTTTTCAGCTGCAGAGGCAGCTTCACGAGTGCAATTCCCTGAGACTGACAGAATGAAGCAGTAACATCTGCACCAGAGTAAGCTACCCAAGCCTCAAGCAGAAAGAGCCCAACTATTGAAAACACCATCTTTACCTGTCTCCTCAGACTCTCCAGCTGCCCTGTGAGGTTATCACTGAAGAACATAAACTAGTAAAAACCCCCAGTACAACTTAAACCTACAGCTTCCAAATATTTCTTAAAAACCACTGATAATATTGATGATATTCACCTCTACTGAGAAACCCACAGGCAGCATGTCCACAAAGGTACAGGTCTACCTACCTTTCTCCGCCATTCTTTTGGTATGCCGGTCGGCAATCTGGCCACTGCTTTGAGTGCATCATGCCACTAAAAGCGAAAGCATCCAAAATGTATAAAATCCACCGTTAGTTTAATGCAACAGTATAGCAACATTTACAACACAGCAGACATGCATATTCATTTCATTTTACTGCACGCATTTCAGAGTTTAACAGGGAAAATATAAATTAATTAGTTAATGATGTAACAAAAATGTAATATTCTAGGACACAAAGACTTAGGAGATAGCTGAGTAAATGATGAAAGCTTATTGCATTTTCCAGATGCTAATGGATCAGCCCTGATGCAACTGCAAACAATATGCTGACATTATGATGACAGATGCACTTTTGAACTAGGGCAAGTACTTTGATTGAAGAGAACCATGTTCTTCATAAACTCAAGAGAAAAATTAATCCAGTTACCTGCTGAAAACCGTTTTGACCTAAAGATGGTTCAAGAGTGAACTTCAATTTTGTGTCAACCCCTAGAAAACAAACAAACAATCATGGCCATTATTTTCATTTAGTTCAGAAGAAAGAAGGAAAAAAAAAAAAAAAGCAGCACCCACCACTGAAATAAGAACACAAGATTCCAGCTACACATTTCAACAACTATATTTCAACATGTTTCTGTGAATTCTTGTCTTCAGAGTGGATTCAAGGCACATATTAAAAAGAACATGGACAAAATGTTTTTAAAATGCAGTAATACCCTCTTTAATGATGTAGTTCAACACAGCACAATTAACTAAAAATCATTTAGTTCACTATTCTACAAACTGTGTATGTACACTGCAAACTACAATATGCATCCACAGAAAAGTATATACAAACAGTTTCTTGCCATCTATTTCGACTTTTTGACATAAAGTCACTCAAAACTCATTTCCATATTTGGTGTGCTAAAACTACTTTATTGCTCAGATTATATTTTTTATATAATTCCTCAGAACATAAAGCACATTTGGTCACTGTTATCAGTTAAGCCTAGATTTTATTTTGGCCTTATGAGCAAATTATTTTAATTGTTATAAAGCACGCCTGCTAACAGTCTATAAAATAATGTACTAGACGAAACACTAGGATGTCAAGTTTGGGCTGCACTGGATCATGCCATAACAGGAAGAACAGTAACACTGGATTTGCTTTGTATCCCACAGCTTGAATGGACAAGGCTCGGGGCCTTCAGACGCTGCTGTCCAGTGCTCGGGTGCTGAACACCGCGTTATATCCACAGTCGCCTCCCTCAGGGCTTCCAGCACAAAGAATAAAGCCTTTTTTATTTTTCCTCCATAATTTAATGCAATGTACTGCTCTACATTTAAAATAACGTGATGCATACCTTCTTGTCTTTCTAGAATATTAAGACAAGCATTTTTAATATATATTTTAATAGCCATATAAAAACCCACCCAGATTTTAGTCCTGCAGGCTTTTAAGTATATAAAATCCCTGCTAATCAACTCATCAGTAATACTCAGTGCTTTGGAGGACTAAGCCTGAGTTTCACAGAAACCCAAACTGTAGTGGCACTTGCTAGTTATGGAATGCAAAATGCCTTTCAGCATTTGCGTACTGAAGTGGTGGTAAGTCATTTAAAAGCCTTGCTGCCTGACAAATACATATTTAAAGACAGCCTTCTCCTTCAAGACTTTTTTCCCCTCCTTTGGTGGGGGAAAGGGAAGAGAAATAAATACAATTCACACAAAACCCAATTTTGTTTAGAATTTTAGCATTTTAGAATTGCATCACTGAGACCTGGGGACTGGTGCTTCCATTTCCCTGCTTCAGATTTAAAGGACATCCTTGTCAGATCTAGAAAAATAAAAGCTTCAAACCATAATAGAAATGTCCTGAAAAAACATTACAGGATTAAAATCATTCCTGGAAGTAACTGTTTATTAGTATTCTTCTCCATAACTCCACAGCACT